AAATCGTCCGTAGAGGCTGATCGCGGCTGGTTTACAAACAATGCGGCCAGCACGCAGCCTGGCCCACAATGGCGACGATCCGGCGACGAGGATTCACGCGCGGATCGCAATAATTCCAGCGTGCAGCCAGCCACGTGATAGGTGGTAACTGGTAACTGGTACCTGGTGATTTGTAACTGGTAGCCCGCGGTGCCCGGCTAATCCCACAAAGAGCGCCGACCTTTGAAATTTCTGGACAATTTATCTCGTGGCATGCACCGTGCGCGCGAGCGCGTCCCCTGCGCGCCGCCATTGTGACAGCCAGTCGGAAACGAACCTGCTGCCTGAGGATCAGTTTTCTCTTCTCTTTTTTCTTCTTCGTATTTTTTGGTTTCTTTTCGTTTTTTTTTTCTTTTTCTTGGAGAATTCTGAAGGTGCTACATGGCGAGTAAAAGTTTTTAAGTTATATGAAACAAACTTTGCGATTTTATTTAGACGAGAAGTATATTATGATTTTGAGTTTAGTAACTGGGAATATGTTAGTATATAATCTAGATGAATTTAGAAAAATTTGCACTATGTAAGAAGCTTTAACATACTGTGGCAATTAATATTTATTAATTAATAATCATTTATTTTATCCTAATATTTATTAACATAGTACGTTCCAGAGAGTCGGTCTATTTGAAAAAAATATGCTCTTTCATTAAAAATAAACTGTATTTTACAATGCAGTAAAATAGTATTGTATTAAAAAAGAGAATAATAAATATTTCCAACCATATAATTTTCTAGATAAATAATAAGTATTTGCAACGTTTGAGTTTTTGTAAGGAATGAAATTGTCGCGTATCACAATTTTTCGTTAAACATATTTTACTTTTTCCTTCGCTATAATTTACTTCGTCTCTCTCTCGGAACAAGTTACAAGGAATCATAATTAAAGGAACTCAGTGGCAACCACACTTTAGCCGTCCATACACGTAGCAGGGACAAAAAGTGGTGCACGTGCAGCGATAGGTTGAACCAGATCCTCCATAGATCATCGTCCTTGGATCCACAAATTGGGATTCCCAAAAACTCGGATACAAAGTTCTTTCACGGTTCCCGGGGGAGCGTGGCGCACGAGGACGGCCCCCGGTGAATCTCTCGAGGGACTACTCGTATTTTCCTTCGATGAAATCTTATCTGAGATCGAGGAGAGGTCGCAAGAGAGTGGAAGAGAGGGAAAAGGGGCACCGAGAAGTCGGCGGGGGTCCGTGGCCAGAAACACGAGGACCCGAGGGTTCCAATTTCTCCGGGCGCGCGCAACGCGTCGCAAAAACGCGTCGAGGCCGACGATTCCGGGAAAAAAGGCCACTGTGTCTTCCCTCTGTCGTGTCGGACCCGGGTCCACGCTCGTTTCCGCCTCGCCTTTGCCGCGACGATGACGCCACCATCGCTGGAGTCGCGCTGCGAAATTGAACATTCGATGGTATACTAAAAAATTCTTTTTTCTCGTTTTTCTTGCATGTAATTTGCATTCTGTCATTTTGGATTTATCGAAGATAGGTTTTCTATGTGATTCCTTGAACTTTGTCGGTTATTTTCAGACGAAGTTGTAATCTAGAAATTTATAATAGGTTATGTCGTTGATAAATATCGACGTGTTTTCAAAAATTTCGTTCTAGCGTCAACAGGTGTCGCGATCGGTCAATCTTCCTTAACCTTAAACCATCGATATTCAGTTTCTAAGACTGAAAATTAAAAATTACTACTTTTCCATACTTAGAAAATTATGTAAAAACAGGTATGATTTATTTTACGATTAATACAGACGTACCAGTTGTATGAGAAAAATATGTCACCTAACCTTCAAAATATGAGGGTTAATATATCCACCTGGACGTGGAGTAACCCAATACAACCATACGAACAGATATTCGACAGTACATGCAGCTGCAAATAAATCCGATCCAAATATCCCCAACCGCATCTTTAACCAAACTCCCATATTCGCCTCTCCAACGAACCATAAAATATTTCCTCCCATAAGACCACTCGCTACCAACCTCGACCAACCACCACGATAAACAGCCGACATAACCGAAGAATCGACGAAACGAGGGAATTGAACCGCAACTGAGCCTCTATCCTTACCAAGAACGTGCAAAAGAAGCAATAATCGTTACAGTTTATCGAACGCGAGCGACCAACCAAGCGAACACCAGCATCGAAGAGCAGCAACGAACGACCAACACCGCGACGCGCGCGCCACGCTGCACGGGGCGCGGCGTGTTCGCGCAACGCTAGCCACGAAAAACTTGCACGCCTCCGGTCGGTAGTAATTTCAGGCCGGTGGACGTTGCGGCGCAAAAAAGGCCCAGTCCGACAAAAGAAGCCCCGATACCGGCGAAATTACCTTCCGACAACCTTACACGGCCACGGCTCGGGGAGTCCTAATAAGGGGCGACGGTATAAATAAAGTCATTTGCGGTAGTCGCCGCTCGTCGTCCGGCGGGCCCCTTCGACGAATCGGCCCTTTCGTCGCGTACGACTGTCCGTCGGGCCAGCGTCGGCTGGCAGGGGTGGGGAGGCGTCTCCGCGAGCGGAACGGGTCCCGAACCGGGGCCACGGACTGGCATCGGTTTGTTTTGCGGATTAGGCCCGTTTTAAGCTCGCTGGCCACGGCTCGCGCCGCGACGAATCGAGAAACGCGGCCCGCCGCACGTCCCCGCTTTTTGCCCGCGCGAGAATCAAGTTGTCCTCGTTCCAGTGGCGTAGCGCGATGCATTTCGACGGCGGCGTTGCGGGGTCCGCTTGGGTTTCAAGGTGCGTCGTGTTTGCGCGAGGATTGTTCGTGAAATGGGGTGGAGCGTAAGTGGGACTGATCGTTTGGGGTGGGAGTTGGGGTTTTGGGGAACGTAGGGGACAGAGTAGTTGCGTGCGAGTGATTTATATTACTCATTTTTATTAAAATTACGGTGAAGTATACAGACACTAAGTATACAAAAATTACAATAACATTAAGTAGAAGAGGTTCTCTCGGAGACGGTATGTACAACAGAATATATTTATAAGTATTATTATATTATATTATATTACTCTATATTATGTATATATTTATATATGTATATGTATAAATCAAATATCTATGCGTACTCATGTGGTATGTATGTATAGAGGAGTAATTTCATTTCGGACGTAGAAAAAGGACAAGTTAGTAAATTGGCGTGTGATAATACAAGGTACGGGCTTCGTTCGTCGTCTTCGAGTTCGCGAAACGGTCATAGACGTATTTCTTTTGGTTAAAACGCGCCCTTACGACACTGAGAAGGGGTGAGGGAGATAATAAAAAATAAAAAAAAAGACAGACGGAGAGAGACATAGAAAGTATTATCGTTAATGATACACCTGTCCTCCGCTTAATTCATCCGCTTACGCTATCTATTGAGCTAAACAAAGTAAAAATCAAGTTAAATGCACGTGCATGTGCGTTATGCAAACGCGTTCTGCTCGCTCTTCCTCGAGTCTGATTCAAGCGACGTTGCCGCGGCTTCGTCACGACGAAACATAATTGGCGAACGCTCCATCCGCGTCTCACGCGGTCGAAATTCGACTGGGCGCCGCCATTTTGTTCCCCACGATCCGCTCCATGCGCTTCGATCTCGTATTATACGATTCGATCCACGCCGATGAGAATAATTCGTGAAATTAAACCAGACGGGTTATACACTCGTCAAATTCAGCGCAAAAATTTATTTCCCGCGAGATTTTAATATTATTCGCGTTCAGGATAGATAATTTCCGTAATTACGAAGCTTCCTAAATAGAAATTATTTGCATCTGCTACTATCGACGTTTACGCAATCTTGCAGGGATGTAATTCGGTATACTCGTAGGGAAAATTTGCTCCCAACTATACTAAATCGTACGACATTCCATAATTCGAATCGCCGAAGACTGAATTTACCGCGTCGTGACGCACGAATTTGCAAATGGACGAAGCCGGGCAACATGACACGACCCGGCAGAGAGAAAAATAGACTAAACAAACAAACAATAACAACAAATTAATAATAATGTCCACCTCCGTGGCGACTCGGCGCCGTTCGCACGACTTATGACACTGTGTTCAGTCACGCGTCGATTCGCGTGCAGCGTTTGCCAAGGACCACAAACCGCATATCGGAAATTCGATTATGCTAATTAGAACCATCGATCTCGTTCTCGTCAAAGAAAAAAGGAAAAAAAAAATCCTCGAATAATCGAATTTTAAAATCTCCACATCTCCATTCGCTTTTCATCATTTCCCCCGAACAGGGGCTCGAAAAATTTCACGAGCACCGATAATAAATAAATAATAACGCGGAAGATGTCTCCCGGCCATAATCGAGTTTCCAAAATGGCGCGTCCGCGTCCTCGGCCACCAGTTACAAGAAGGAGAAGAAATTATATAAGAACGAGGATAAAACGTGGAAACGACAGTCGGAAAGGCGAGAAACAGCTTCCCTCGCGAGCCTTCCCATTCATTGGTTGTATTTTGGCACGGGGATGAGTGACCAGCGCGTCTCTTTGTATATGAGAGCTGCATCGAACTTGCATTTATCTCGAATCCCGTCGACGGCAAAGAGACCGCTTCCTGAAGCTTTTCTACGTATCTAAAGTCGTCGAACGAGTGTATAAATAAATATAGGAAAGCGTTGTTCACGAATTTCGTTCCTCTGGACAGAGATTCTACCCTTCGCCATTTTGCTTATCCCGCAGACGTGTCCATTCAGTTATCAACGGTACAAACACGATACGAGACGCTTTCCGTTCAATAAATATCTCAATTTAATAAAATAGACGATTAAAGCTTCCCGATGAAGGGACGAGACGGGGTTCCTGATTCGTTTGACTCGATTATCTCGGGGCAATTTTTCTCAGGGGTTAATTTTCGTGTTCTTCGATGGATGTTGCAATTTGATCTTCGCTTTATCTGTTCGATTCGCGAACCTGTGTGGAGGCCACCGTCCAGCGGTTACGTCCACAACCCTCCGTCGACCGGATTTCCTTTATTACTCGGTTGTCTAGAGGGAGTCGAAGTTCGATTCTCGGTCGCTGGTCTGGAAGATATAATTAAACACGATGACGAGATGACGAGAATAGATACTCGTGGATCGTTAAAAAATATAACTTAAAAAGAGGTTGTCAATCGATCAACATCCTCCTAAATTAGGTATACATTTGTAACCCGCGAATTTAACTCAAAATTTCACGTTACAGATTGTAATACTACTCGTGAAGTATGATTAACATTATTATTATCGATATTACCGAATGTTGGAAACATTAGCAACGGTAATAGTTGATACGACTATTCTATAAAAATTAATCATTCGATCTCTCGTTGATATATTCTCTGAACCCAGGAAACAATGTACAAGAGGGGACACTCAACATGGAGCTCGAATTTCGCTCGTAACTCACCCTGTCCGGGCTATAGAGAGGCGGATGCTGCGCCGGAAGTCTCAGCGTGCTTCCCAGATCCCTCTCGGCCATTGTGTGCCCCTCGCTGGCACTGTCTCTGGTGTCTCTGTTGTCTCTGGCGTCTTTAACGCTGTTCCTTCTAGCGTCTGCGACTTTCGTAGGCGGCTGGATCGTCGTTTCACCGCAGGATCTGGCCAGGGTCGAGCCAGCCTCGCCTAAATCCAGCCTCAGAAGCTTCGTCGGTGCTTGGATGGTCGTCTCGCCGCAGGAACGCGCCAACGTCGAGCACAGGTCGGCCTGCAGATCTCCGGTTCGCAACACCTTCGTCGCAGTCTCCACCGTGGTCTCTCCGCAGGAACGAGCCAGCGTCGAATCGGCGTCCATTTGTCGAGTTACAGTTGCGGACACCTGGCAAAGAAATAGAATTTTTCATATCTTTTTTCTTCAATTCTTTGATCTTCTATTTCTCAAATTTTTCAGGAGCGTGTGGATTTTATTTTAAAGCAATTTTGTTGGTTGTCATACTAATCTAAATATTCGTTTTTAGGAGGAAGATGTGGATATCTTCAGCCTAATCGACATGTGGGATTACCTGGAAACCAGCGCTAACAAGGGCTCCAGTCGGCGCAGCCGGCGTTCTGATGATCTGCACGTCAGCCTCCTTGCAGTCCTTCGCGCTGGACACGCTTTGCTTCCTGTTTCCGGTGTTGTGCGTGCCACTCTCGAGGTAGTTGAGCAGCTTGTGCTCCTCAGTCGAGAACGTGCTCATGCCAGATTTGTAATTCTGCGGGGACTGGGGCGCGGATCGGTACTTAGCACGCGGGATCATCACTGTCAACGAACGGTCTCGTTGCTCGTCGCTCACCGGCACTAGAGTGATTCGATCAATTAATGACTTTGATAGATATATTTTGCATCGCGAACAGCGTTTGCTACAATTTCACACGATACAATAGAATCTCTTTTCCGATTCTACAACACGAGAGAATTTTTTAAATGATCGTTTTAGCCATCTAGCCATCATAGCCATCATATTTAGACGAATGGAAATGGTTTTTAAGAGTTACCTGATGCAGGTATCATGGTAGTTTTTCTAGGAGGGTGTCTGGGTTTCGAGCTGGACTTTCGAGCTGGCCTCTTGGTCGGTGGTAGAGGTGCCATCATCTGCGGTGGTGGCGGCAGGACGTGTGGCACGTGGTGAGGAATCGCCAGATCTGTCACGCTGCCCTCGCTGCTGGTGTCTCCACCGGTTCCAGGAATCATGGCCCTCCTATTCGGCTGACGGAAGCACGCCATGCCGACGCACACCCCCAGAACACCCAATAATATCGTACCAGTCGTAACCAGAGCTATCAGCAGCACTGTGAACAGAATCCAAAGATTAGCTGAACTGTGATCCAACGATTTTCAAATTTAAGATGTAGACTGTGATCACTATCTTTAGGTTTACAGTTGTTTTATGGTTGCAATAATTTTTCGTGTCTTTATGTATGAGATCGATGTGCGTGACTTTACCTTTGAGATTAACCTGACATCGCTGTCCACTGTGCCATGGGAAACACTCGCAGACTTCTTGGCCATTGGTGTTCGTCACGCAGTGTCCTTTGTTGTTGCAACTAGGACAGCCCAATGGCGCCTGAGAACACAGTCTTCCAGGGTACGCTGGGTTTTCTGACAGATCTGCCCACCCTTCTTTGCAAGAGCATTGATAAGAACCTCGGAGGTTGAAGCAGGCTGCGTTTTGAGAGCAATCGTGGTGAGGTCCTCCTTCTTCCATCTCGCATTCGTCGAAATCGACTGCCTCGATCTGGGATAAGAGATTTTAGCTACACTTTGATCTATCTTTTTATTATTTTCCTGGGTTCCTTTAAAAGGAGACTTACGATTTCAAGATTTTTCGAGGCATAAACCTCAGTGCCGCCTAAGCTGTAGTTGCTTGCAATCAGATACTTTCGAAGGACTTCCTTTAGTCTGGTTTCATTGGCGTTGTCGCTGAGTTGAACGTGGAACACGACTTTGGTCGGATCAGGAGAGAAACCAGCTATGTTCAGTCCTCTGTAGATATCTCTGAGGTCGCTCTGCATCAGGGTTCTGTCCAGGGCATCCTTAGTGGGTCCTACCAATTTTCTGAAAGTCGTCGACGAAGAGTCGTTGAGACTCGATTCGTAGACCACTGGCTCGTGTCCAATGCGATCCAGGCCAACTCGTAACGTGTAGGTGTAAGTGGCTAGGATTATAAAACGCAATGGGAAATAAATTAAATACGAAAGAAAATGTCGCACAATTCCTAATAATCTCGCAATTAGTACTTCTTTGATAATTCTCAGAAATTAATTATTAACGCCATTACTGTTATTCGAAGTTAAAAAGACAAATAAAATTAATCAATGAAAGTAATCAAGCTCACGTTTGCAAGGTCGATCAGGGAACATTCTGGCGAAGCCAGGTCGGCAGACGCATCTCATTTCACTCCCAACTTCCGCGCATATTTCAGCCCTGGAGGCTCTGCACTCTGGCGTACACTGGTTGATAATAGGTTGAAGGGACACCACAGGCGCTCCAAGAACTCCACCAGCCAGAACTTTGTGCACTTTGTTCTCAGTCGGATCTTGCTCGTCTCTCGTGATGTCACCGTATTCAGCCTCCACCTGAGAGAAGATTCACGTCAAATCGATATCCTTCCGATTCTCGATGCAGTGCACGATCACGAAAGAATTTCCATTAGTTTCTTACATTTACCTCTTCAGCACCAGGTGCCGGTGGTTTCTGGTCGCTCATCACCACAAAGATGGAGTCATTGTCGACCACGTTCTCGTAGGATGGCGGTACCCTAGTCACCACAGGTTGCAAGATCGTTGACGTAACCGTGGAGACCACGCTGGTTGGACGCAATAGCGTTTCCGTTACGGTTTCCACCGTGGTTGACGTCAGCGTGTGGGTGAGCAATAATGTTCTCGTGGTAGGCGGTGAACCCAGTACCGATGTCTGGATTCTGGTCACCGTTGACGTCTGGAATCGTGTCACCTGTGTAGTAAAGCTCTGTGATGTTGACTGAAGAATAATCGATTCTTTGCGATTTCTTTTTAGATAGATTCGTCTTTCGTTATTTCCAAACTGACGAAGAATTATTATTTAAAGGAATTGTTACTTAATTATTATTTCATTGGAAGGATTAATAAAATGCTTCACTAATATCCATCACAACTCTCACCCACCTCCTTAGGCTTCACACGCATAGTCGTTGTTGTCCCATGAACAGGTTTCGTCGTCTGACTGCTGACATCCTTCGTCATCTTGATGACCGATTCGTTCCTCTTGGTGACATTCTCCGACAATGTGCTCGTCGCATTCGTTACCGAGCTGTCAACCCTGGTCACAACGCTGGGCAACTCTTTCACAGTGGTCTCGTTCTTTCGCTTGCGTTCCGTCACCGGTGAAACGACCACCTTCGAAACTTCGTTCTTCGTCATCGTCGGCCTAGATTCCGTCTTCTGGCTCGTGGTCACCACGTGAGTCAAGGTCTCCGTGGCCTCCACTTTGGTCGTTGGTAGGACGTTATCGTGGCTAGACTCCAAGAACACTGGATGCTCTGGTCGCTTCACGGGATTTCGAGGAATATCGAAATTGTGAGACCTAGTCGGTTCCACGTCTCTGCTTGGTTGAATCTGGTCCAGTTGGATTGGTCTCAGCTTCGTCGGAATGACCAGATTCGTGGTCATAGTTGTTGGTTGCACGGATATTCTGGAGAATTCAGATTATTGTCAAATTGGAACGGGTATTTTTATATACGTTTTTAATATTCCTGATGACAGGTGGTTAAGGATATATTGACAGAAGAAACATTTCTGGGTACCTAGATACGGGCCTAGTGTCGAATGGCCGCACCGTGTAGATGCTAACGTGCTCCGTCATCCTTGTTTCGACTGGCCTAAGAATCTCGGGTACGTCCACGATCACAGGAAGATCGACAGTGCCGTGAATGATGGGTATCTTCGACTCGATATCCTGGACCACTGGTATGTGGGACGTTGCGACGGCTGTGGCGATTTGAATTGATCCTGACACCGCTACAGCTGGTCTCACAGTGGCTATCTCGAGTGGTCTGGTCGTCTGAGTGACTGGTGGTGGTGGTACCATGTCCTGAATGAGGTATACGGTGTGTTAATTACCTCGAATGGAAGCAATAACGAGAATATTAAATCGATTTACCTGAGACAGCAGTTCCACGATGAAAGGCCTGGCGAGAGAAGGTCTAGGACTAGGTGGAACCATGCTGACACTAGGCAAAGGTGCCACGGTTGACTCTTTCAGAGGAATATACTTAGGTGGAGGCTTCAAGCCAGACTCATTGGCAGTCACAAACGGGAATCTGTCTTCTGCAGGCCCAGAGGTCGTAGTGATATCAACTGGTGGAGGCGATAAACCGACGACGTCTCTGGAAGGAATAGGTGGTGGTTTCAAGTCCTCTTCTTCGTTCTTGTTTGACTGATTCAGTCCAATTGCTGGCCTCAATGGCGGAGGCATCATATCCCTAGATGGCACGTTCATTCCTTCCATACTGCTCAGCATGTCTCCAGTGGACGTCTCAATGGGCCTTATTCTAATTTTGGTCTCGTGGTTCACGGAGTCTTCCTTATTAGCGTCTGAGGCTGCAAAGTTCGTCTGATACGAAGTGTCTATCTTCTCTGGGTTCTTCTTCTTGTCACTGGAATTATTCGTCGTGATCAGCATGCTCGGTGGTCGTTCAGTTTGTGTCTTGCTGTCCACCTCTTCGCCTATGGCCTCCACAGGCATGGAGAATCTTATATTTGGCCGAGTATCAGGCTTATTAGCCGTTGAAATAGTAACTGGTCCTGGTACTGGAGGCTTAGGTTTTGTGACTATATGTGGATATTCTGGGTGAATCCTAGTCACTGATCCATATTCCTGTTGAGTCACTTTAGGACGACTCTTCTCTGTTTTGATAGTCTCTGTGGTTGTCTGAGGATACTGATTATCGACTTGATGAGAAATGGAATTGTTTCTAAAGTGATTCTTTACAACTTCGCTCTTGTTAACCAGAATCTCCTGTCTGTCTGGCCTCTGCTCACTAATCTTTAATCCGCCATCTAAGTTGAGGTCCACGAAACCGCCCAATTGTAGGTGACTCTGATTCATTTTACCCGGATGGCCTAAACTGTTGTTAACAAATGTTTCCGAGCTTGCTGGCTTGCCTTCGTTAGGCTGTTTCACCTGATCCGGCCTCGTTTCTGGAGCCTGACTTACGACATCAGGTCTTGGATACAATACAGGTCTGGTTTCGACTTTATTTATGATAGGTGGTCTAGGATATGGTCTGCTGGGTTTGTCCAATTCGGGTACAAACTGGGGAATGATCGCTGGTGGCTTCAAGTCTATGGTATCGTCGCGTTCACGAGATGGTAACGTTGACGTCTGTTCTTGCTGATTCTTGTGGCTGTTTTGCAGTATTTTGTTCATGTAATACGTCGATGGTACACCCTGTACTATATCGTGTTCAGGCTTATTTTCTTTCCATTTGTAGCCATAGTTCGTTTCCTCGTGACCAGTGTACACACCAAACGGCTTCCCTTGGACTACTGGCGTCTCATGGGGTTTGGTGTTGTAGTAACTAGGTCCATAAGGTACCTGAGCCTGACTGGCTTCGTTCTTGTGAGAAAATGGAACTCCCGGATTCATCCAGACAGGTTTACCCTTCTGATCTTGCTGAACGTCGCTTCCTCCAGCTGGTTTTCTTATCACCGTGTTCCCAGAAGCTACGTTCTCAGCAGAATTCTTGATGCTCGATGTTGTATCGTTGCTTTTGCTAACGAAAGGCATATCGCTTTGCGTTTTATCGTACTTCTGCACTTCTTTAACCTGATTGTGATAATTCACAGGTTCAGAGGCACCAATTTCCGAATCCAAAGTCTTCTCCGTCTGCGTACCACTTTGCCAGACTTCTGGTTTTGTCTCCTGGCTAGACGAAGCCTGATCAAAGCTCTGAACCTGAGTATTCGTCGCAGCTGGCCTGTCATCCTGCTTGATTTTAGTATTCGATGGATTATGATACTCCACAGCTCCAGTTGGGACATATTCCTCCGTTCTCTCAGTTTGAGGCCTCATCTGTCCCACATTCGCAGGCCTTTTCTCCGGATAGAAGTGTGGTGGCCTATCCTGAAGATCAATTTGCTGCAAAAATGGGAAACATATAGATTGTACTACGTTGTTCAATTTTAGTTAACACGATATTATTTGCAATATAGCAATATTAATTATAAATACGTTCAAATATCACACGGATGATATTTACCTGCGGATGAGGCCCATACGATGGCTGTCTCTCAGTCACCACGTCCTTCATCACGTCTCCAGGCGTCGAAGTGGCTATCCTTGGCGGTTCGTGATGAATCTGTGGATTGGCAATCGGTCGATGAGGCAGCACAAACGTGTTCGTGTTCTGCGTCTTCGTCGGGGGCCTCTGAGGGCCGTTGTAAACTGGTTTCCTGATATTCGGCCTTTCCTGGTAAATCGGCCTGTCCAGAGGGCGACTGGTCGTCGACCTCAATATCGGTCGAGGTCTCAACCTGTTATTCATCAGGATCCTCGGTGGTTTCTTGTCGGACTTCCAATTGGTATTCAAAACGATCTCATTTCCCGAGTCTGGCTTAGCTAGCAAGATGTATCTGTGGGAGTTGTCAGATAGATTCGACATTTCGGTTCTTCTGGGCGGTGTGCCAGGTTCCACGGGCTTTTGAATCTTTGGGAATTGTCCTCGTGATGGTAAGTGACCGTTAGGGTGCATGTGAGGGTGGATAGATGGATATGGCACGCTCTGTGGACGAACGTTTACGGTTTCCGGTCTATGGTGGACCAGGATCTCAGTGTGCACGTGGCCTTGGCCGCCTAGGACACCGGAGTTGTCGGGATGTTTGATCAAATGCACGTCAGATGGCTTCTTCTCTGGCCTGTTCAAGGGTGCTTCCAGCTTGTCTTGTGGTCTTTCGTAGTCAAAACGACCCGGTGACAAGGGAATCGTGGCTGGACGATTGGAGGGGTGCTTCTCTGGCAGAGTCTTGAAGTTGTGAGGTGGCGATGGTGGCACCATGTAGTCTGCTGGGTCCTTTCCATTTGAATATTGAGGTAGGTCCTCCACCTAGATTTTAGATCAATTTTTAAAGCGTTGAGATCCAAAATTAAGTATTTAAAATTTCTAACTAAAATTCCAGAAATGTCTTTATGAGAAAATTGTCTTTAATGATAAAACATAAGAATTTCTTTTTATTATGCTACTCTCTCGATAAATATTTCTATACTGGGTTCGTTAGATATAGTTATTCCGATTGGAATAAAATTGTAGGTATAAGAAAGTGCAGAATGTATATAAAAACACGGTGGTGATGATTAAGTGACTTACCCTTTGAATTCCAACGAATCCTAAACCAACTTCCGATTCAGGATACGGTGAAGGATCGTCGAAGTATTGTCCACTGATGTGGGGTTCGTTCGTGTCGCCGAATATCAGTGCCTGAGTACCACCCTGAGGAATCACTACGTTGGCCACTTGACTGGGTTGGATATTGACTAACAAGGGCTGGCCCGTTGATCTGTCGATGACGTGCGGCACTTGATGAACTATAGGTTCCGCAGGTGTGGGTCTGGATTCGGAGATCTGAATGACAACGGGAGAATCGGGGAGCAGAGGATCTTTCTGGGCCCAAGGTGGTCGTTTCTGATCGTCGGATGGAACGGTGGGCCACGGTTTCTCCATTGGTGGCTTCCCAGCATCGATCTTCTGGAATTTTTAGAGTGACCGATAAGGTTCACAATTTCACAATTAACGTCTATAATTTTTTAGAAGCTAATCGAAGAGTTCTACGCGTTCAAAATTTAGATCAAAGTGTTCACAGTTCAAGTATACAAATATTTAGATTAAAGCTTTCGAAATACTTGCGATTTTTGTTAGCAGAGGGTTACATAGTTTAATACGAAGCATTTGGAATAATGCAGAATGCACAATGCACACCTGATCGAATTGAGGATGGGGTGGGGAAAGCTTCAAAGGATCCTTGGCACTCCATGGCCTCCTCGACTTCTCAGGGCTCCATTCCGGTTCCTTTGGGTTCGAATTTGGATTCGCGTACTGTTCCACGTTCGGTCTGTCGGGTGGTTTCAACAGAGGATCATTCTCCATCACGTCTTGCTTCGAACCCATCCTCTTTGGCGGAGAAGATTGGATAGGAAGCAGCTTTTGAGGTTGCTTCGATAGCAACGTAGGATTCGTGTCGACTGGCATGGAAACTGGTATCTTTAGATGTTCCTCGTAGATCTGGTGCGCGGGATATATCTGTATCTGTGGACCCTTGTGACCCTGAAGAGTTTGCTGAGGTTGGCTGTCTTCTCGGTTGTTCTCCAGGACCTCGAGAACAGGATGGACTAGGATGTTGGGGACTGGCAGTGGTGGTGGCTTCATTCCAATGTGTTCTTCGTCCTCCAGGAATGTCTGAGGCGGTCTTGGTGCCATTTTTCCTGGTTTGCCGATGATCACGTCGCTGTTCGCTGTGATCACTTCACCTGGAGAGATTGGGATTCCGTCTGCCAGGCTGGAAGCTACTTTGTGACGGGTTTCCGCGATGTAGTTGTGCTTGACGTTCGTAAGATGGGTACCTTGACAGACATTTTGAGTCATTTTGGATTATTCGACAAAATTTGATATTTTCTTCTGTACACTTTCATACATTTACTTCATTTTTCTCAAAACTGGAACAGTTAATTAGCGGAAACCAGTGGATAGGATTTTGACAGAAGCAGTTACCTATATTTTGGCTTTCAGCAGCCTCGATGTCGTCGTCAGCGAACTCAGCCACAGGTATGTAGATGGGTGACCTCTGCGTGGTCACTTCCTGTGCTTCTGCTTGCGGTATCGTGTCATTTCTTCGCGTTGCTGTCGTCTTTCCTTGTAACAGACCAGCCATCGCGGTAATCACAGGTCCCAGAGCCGACAGACTGTTAATTCCCAATGATCCTAGGTTTAGAAGGTTGCTCACTTGAAGATCACTCGTGTTCTGACCAGCAGGCTTCTTGTTCTGCCCGGAATCCGAAGAAACTGTCACGTTGGTCTCCTGCAATTCGAACGCGACGGGATTAAAATCCAAAATTCCTTTAATTCGACATTTTTTAAAACTTAACGCAGGATCCTATGTTTACCTGACTAATTTGTTCGGACGGCTTCAAATTCGCCTCACTGGCAACGGGAGATGGTTCAGTAGACACAAAACTGGCAGAAATCACTTCGTCTTTCGGAACTTCCGCGGTAGAAGTGGCTTCTGGGAAGCTGGTGGTCGTGGTAGGATCGATTTGGTCCTCCTCGTCGAAGAAGATGATCGTCGATCCAGTTACCACGTTTTTCACCGGGTCTGTGTGGTGTGCCGTTGTCAATAAGGCGTTCATGTAGCCAGCATCGAGCAAACTGGGCGCTATCGACTCTGTCACCACGTTCTCCACGATGTGAGACCTCGAGGAGACAGTGGTAGAAGTTTCTTCGTCTGGTCCCGCCTGAAAATGAACAAAAATTTTCCATCTTCTTTAAAAAATCTATGATCATCCTACTCTTCGTGTTATCTAACTTTTTCGAATATAAGAATACAATATCTCACAAGAAGATGTCAAAATTCTTCATAATTCGTGTGCAGAGTATTTCATAAAAGTCTGCGAATTTTTCTAAAATTTCGTGAAAATTTATGCACTAAATTCTCCTTATAACCATTGGTTATAAAGATCAGTATACAATTCACGTAAGGTTAATTTGAATTGCAATTGTGTAAAAGAGGAGGATACGTATGTTAGTAATATTCGAGAAATTGAAATGGCATACTTGAAGCAACGTGGTAAAGTAGGTAAAGGTGGTCAGATAGGTCTTCGTAGCAAAGATTTGAATGGGTTCAGGAGTGGGATTCACCATGGTCGTCTTCGTGGTCTTCTTGACAGGCACTTTCTCCAGCACGACGTCGGTGGACGTCGCAACGTTCGTACGAACCACCGTGTTACCTTTCTCCAGGAAGGTATTGTAATAAGTGTATGTAATGTAGTATGTCTTCATGACGTCTGTCATGTTCTCCTCCGTGCTGTCCAGCGCTGTCAACGTGGTCGTGATTCTGGTCGGACGAGGAGGTGGTGCAGACTCCGTTACTATAAGCTGAAGGGAAAATGTCAGCATTTAAATTCCATTTAGTCGACACGTGATTTATTCTTTTACTCTATTTATCATAGTCATTACAATGACAGAACAAGAGGATTTCACATCACTGTCACTGATTTAACTCTAGATCAAATTAGTCAGATTTTGTATCTTTACAATTGATAGAGAGGTACAATTGACATAGACTTTTATTCAAATGAAATATAATTATATATGTAATTACTTAATCTCGCTATACAATTTTAATTCGATTAATACAGATTGATAAAATAATTTAATTTTAATCGTCTATGTATGTATGGTATATTTAAATATACATTATAGGTCAATAGTCAAGAATTCAAATGGACTACTGATTTAAAAAAATTTAATATTTCACATCAGATATCCATTTGGTGAAAAAGGAAAGACTTTAGAGAAGAAAAAATTCCCAGGATTGCATGAAATGTAACCTTCTTTGACAACTGATAATCACACATGATCCATAGCTACCATGGACTAACGTGTTACATCCATAATTCTTCCTAGACTCGAACTTGGAAGCTTCGGATTGTAATAACTGTGTAAACCGTGAAAGCTATTTATCATTTTCCACGAACCTGAGTAATGGTATCGCTGGTGGTCTCTACTCTGGTGCGCCCATCCTCCATGAAAGTCTTCTCCAGCATCCTGGTGCTGAGGTACGTGTTCGTTTCCGGTCGCGGTGCCTCGGATGGCTCGAGAATTTCGGGTGGTCGGTATTTAGTGTCAAGTAGGTGTAAGTTGTTTTGAACACCTCTGTGCGTAAAGTTGGCGACGCATCTAGCGTTACAGCAGCGGTCTCTGAACCGGGCTTCCTGTGCCGTTCTTCGGTAGCCGTGTTGGCAATCACCTGCAAACATTTTTTTATAAATTTGTCACATACAAGGATTTTTAATTCTAGGAGGTTTCAAAAATTCAAAGTGTGTGAAATTTAGCAGCTATTTGAAAAATTCGTTTATTATTTTTCGATAATTTTAGTAAGAAAGTTAATAATTATGATAATCGTGTGATTTATACATGATTACAATTAGCAATTAAAATAATCTTAGTAATAGTGTCACTATATATAATTACAGTAAATATAAGATAGAAATAAGGAAGAACAATAGTCAAAGGTCGATGGCCGAGAACGGTGGGCTTAAAGGCTATCAATCTAAGGTCTTCAGTTCGAATCCCGGTATACGTAAGAATTATTTTCATAACTTTTAAAATCAATATTCGATTAAAATTACGAATTTCTGAGTATCTTGGCGTTGAGTGATTAAATTAAATTATTAAAATAAATCGGGTTTATAAGTTTGCTCACCTTAAGTTCGAAATTCGAGAGAGGGGGGTGAAATTTGAATAGTCATTTTCCGAGTGATAAAAAAGCAACTATAAACCCGAATAAGAAGTTTGGTGTTGGAGTGTTATAATAAAAATCGGTTCGAAATATAAAAAACCAATAAGTGGGAAAGACAACCAGAATTCAAAAATAAGTAAATAAAAGCTTCAAGAAATGAAAAAAAAAATTCGGAAAGAAAGGGAGAAAAGGGAGTTTGAAAGTGGGAAAAATAATAGGAAAAAGGAAGGAAAGCAGCAAAAAAAAAAAAGGAAAAAGAATTCGAGAAATGAAAAAAATACGGAAATAAAAGGAGTTTGAAAGTGGAGAAAGGAAAAATAGTAAAAAAAAAGAAAGAAAAAGGCAAAATAAATAGGGAAAAAAATAAAAAGGAGAAAGGAGAATGAATGAAAAAGGAGTAAATAAAAAGACTACTGTGTACCTGCTCCTCCGTCGACACGGTAGTTGTCCCATCCTTCGTAATCGTGGTGAGATACGTGAAGGTGGTCGTACAGGTTTTCGTAACAAATTCATTCGGCTTATCTTGCGGAAGCATCATGACGACCGCGTCAGACAATGTCAGCGTAGGTTGTGGCATCAAGTTCTCCCATCGTAGCGCTGGTGTTGGTCCCGCCACGATTACTTCGACTCCATTCGACATGACGCGGGTAGCGAGATTGAACCTCCGACCTTCTTCATCTTTCCCGTCGTATTCTCCTGTCGTTACAATTCCACGATGAAACGATTACCGAGTAACAAATATCGCATTTTCGCTTTGACAATACCAAACTGTCATTAATATATAATTAAAATAATAACATATAGATAATAAGCAATAAATAAATAACGTAGAAACAAAAAGATCGCTAAAGAATCCGAAGTATCTGAAATAAACGTAAAATAATTTAACAGATTCACAAGTGTATGGAAAGACGCCTGAATAATTATACACTTCATGGTGAGTCTACATACGGGCAACAGTTATTCAGGCGTCAGATGGTGGACGTTCAATGTACACGGTTGAAACATTTTCCATATTCAAGAAACAAAAATATACAGAATAGACTATAGAAGTAAAACGAACAATAAGAGATTGAGTATATACAAGATCAGACTTCATTTACAGATATGTACAGTTCACTCAGAGTTCTATTGTACAGGAAACAATTTAGACTGCCATAAGCCAATCGAAGTGAGACTCAGGAGAGCTTCTATACAGTCTCGAGCGTGCTAGTCGCGCGAGAAGAAATATCATATTAGTCTAAAGAAGAATATTATTTTTTACACCGATCATCCAGTGTCCTGAACTTGCCAATCCTCGTTTCAATTTCCATGTCCACAACTATTTATTCAAATAATTCACACACCTCCAACCCGTTATTTCGTTTATTACCGATTTACTACTTCATCATACGTCGAAAAATAATTAAAGAATCGTTCGCGACAGTCTAAATGAGTTCAGGACACTGGAGGATCGCGACGGAGAAGGCTAATCGCAGAGCCAGTTGTAGCTACTCACCAGCAGCGGGCACCGGGCTATACACAGACGAAACAGACGACTCCACGGTAGGAGTGACAGTCACCGTGACGGGCACCGTCAACGTAAGCGTCGTCACTCTCGGTCGGACGGTCGTCGAGGACGTCACTTTCGTCTCCTGTCCGTTCAGTTGCGTCACAACGTACGTGTAAGTCCTCAGTCTCGTCGACGTCACCACCGTCTCTGTATAGTAAACGCTCGTGCTCGGCTCTAACTCCGGCGTTTCGGACCTGGTCTCGTGCTCCACGTGGACCGGTTTCGACGGCAGGATCTCGGGAAAGTCTGGCCTCGACAGGGACAAGTACAGGTCATCGGCCAACCCTGCCTCGATTTCTTCAGGGGTAGGTGACGTGATAGACGTCGTCACCGTGGCCGTTTCGACGCGTGGCGTCGCCTCGGGGACCGCAGGGGTCCCGTTCGAGTCCGACAGCGAGGTGTACTCGACTCCTAGGGGAATCACGCTTGGGATCTCGGAGTCATCCAGATAACTAGGGGTGGTGGAGTCGTGTGACGTCGTTTGGAACGTCTCTAGAGGCAGGACGGTGGCGAAACTGGGCGACACGTCGCCGAGAGACGTCGACGTGCTCGAAGCAGATTCGATAATCGGTTGTATGGGCTCCACTGTCATGACATCTTCGTTCTCCTCTGTCTTTGCAGCTTCTGGGGCCTGTCTTTGGGTGGTGAAGTCTACTACGTCTGGGAAGGAGCTTTCGGTTTCTGGTTTGGGGCTTTGGGTGGCTGTCAGGTCGGGAGATTGGGTGTCTTTATTCGGGTCTTCGATACTTTCCCTTGGGGGATCTTGGGATTCCGATTGAACCTTCGTGACGTGAGGTTCGATGGCTTTCTCGGGTACATCTTCGTCGCGAGTTTGATGAGAATCTTCGGGGCCGGATTGACTCACCGAGACGTGGGTTTCGACGTGCATTTTGGGAGAATCTTCGACATCTTTTGTCAAAGAGTTGGAGTCTGTTTCAACAATTATGTCATTGGACTTTTCGTGTTTCTCAGGAGAATATTCAGTGTCATTTGGCGGAGCGACTTCAGGTTCGCTTGCCACAGTTGTAACATCAGTTTCCATGTCCTCTTCCTTTGACTCTTCGTCTTCCGAGGAAGAATCTTCGGGTGTGGGTTCAGTAGTTAACGGAAACTGTTCAGTGGTACTGTACTCGTCTTCTTCACTGGCAGTTGTCGTGGTTTCTATGTCGGAAGACGTCGTTGTTTCTATTTCTTCTTCGGGAACACTGATCACCGTTGTTTCTTCCATAGGTACAGTCGTTTCCATCGACTCGACCGTCGTCGTACGTTCCTCCTCCTCTTCGTTCTCTTCTTCATCTTCGTCTTCAGTCTCTGGGTACGCGGTAGTCGTAACATCTTCTTCAGAGGAATCTTTGGGAACTTCCTGCGTCGTGGTCAATGTTTCTACATCGTCTATGAATTTTACAGTCGTCGAAATTTCTTCAGTCTTCTCTTCATCCTCCACATCGACCGATTCCGTGGTCGTTTCGTGATCGGTATCTTTATCCGATACCTCTTCGGGTTTCTCCGTGGTTGTTTCGATTAAATCAGGAGTTGCGGGCGTAGTCGAGATATTCTCCGTGCTCGGAACATCTTCCACCTTCGTAGATACAGTCGTCGTTGGAGTTTCTTCGCTCGGAGTGTCCTCCTTCGCGCTTTCAGTCGTCGTGTCCGTATACTCTTCTTCGTATTCTTCGTACTCGTCCGCAGACGCCGGGAGGAAGAAATTGTCAGTGATAATAACCGGCGTGCTCACAGTGGTCTCCTCTATCGGCTCTATCGGATCTATCACCTTCGATTCCATTTCTTCCGTCGTGGTCTCGACTTCGACTTCGTCGGGTCTGCTGTCGATCACGTTAGGCGGCTCCACCAGCTCAGGCGTGACAGTCGAACTGACATCCTCCTTGTTCTCCATTTCGTCGTTGTTGACTTCCTCGGAGTACTCCTCCTCGGACTCGGAAGACGGAGCAGTGAAGAAGCCCGTGGTGATGATAGCAAACGCTGGCGTAGGTTGCACCGGTCTGACAGCGATCAGCTTCTTCCTCGTAATCCTAGGCTTCTTCTCGCTGCTCGTGGGTAAGACAGGGGTCGATTCGATCTTCCTACGTCTGGTAATAGTCACCTTGTGCCTACCAATCTCGTGCTTCAAGCTGTCAGGGTCCAAGTCGCTGTGAATGGTGTTGGCCAGGCCTAAAGTCCTGACACGAGTCACCACGATCCTTCTTGGCGTGTGTCTAGCCACCGTCAACGTAGGATCCTCGGCCCTCGTAGCGATCGGTCTCCTCCTCACCACCGTCAGCTTATGCTGCTTGGGGTTCTTCCTCACGACAGGTACGCGGATTCTGACGCGTTTCCTGGGCGTTTCCTCGAGGTAGTCGTCGTTATTCTCGGCTAGAGTCTGACTCCTAGCGTTCTCATCGGGCGACCACGTGCGTTTGCTAGCGACGTCGCCAGTTAGTCGGTAGTAGTCGTCGGGGTAGTCATCTGAAAAGGCGACGTTCTCACGCTTGCGTGCACGCACTGTGATCCCCGGCGGGCGTGTGTTTGGGTGTGTGAGCTTACAGCTAGGGCAACCGTGAGCAACAGGCGAGGGGCATTTCGAGTCGTCTCGAGTGTTAGGCGAGTCATCCGTGTGGGGTTAAACAACAGACATATCACGTGTCAGACACAATCCCACCCTCGTACGTTCGGTTTCGTGCACTTAGTAGAGGTGTTATCGATCTATCGCGCGATCTGCCGACGATCGCGTGGATCCGTTGTCCGACAAACACCAGAGACAGAGAGTACCATGCGTCGCGTGTGGATTTTGTCGCGTGTGGGCGCGCGTGCGGCGGCGACGGCGGATTCGAGGCTGCGTTAGTAGGTGGACCAGTGGAGGGCCACGAGGGAGAGAGAGAGTCAGGGGGAGATGAAAAGAAGAAAGATCGGGAGAGCGAACAGGACGTGTGAAATGGACGTGTGAAGAGAGCGAGGGGTTCTCGGTGAACCGAAGCTGCGAGCTTTCCACATCCTCCGGAGGAGTTTCATCTATGATACATACTGACATCGTGATCGCTGAACTGCTGCGCACGATTACTCGCGAACGAACGGACCAGCGAGGGCCACCGGCTCGTACGAGCCAGAGAAAGGTCATCAGCTTCGGTCTAGGTGGGCTTTTCATGATGGATTTCGTAATGGACTTATATTAATTAATCGAGCGACGACAGTTAAAGGTAGAAGAGAGGAGGATTATCTAGCGACGTGTGTTTTTACTAGGTGAGGTGTGGATGGACGTGGAAATGTGCCGTCCGACGTCACCCACTACGCTCTCGAGACTCTGTGTCGGCGTGTGCGCGTCCAGCGAGTCCTCGCTGCCTGTCAGGACAGCGATCCCTTCGGATCCCTCGTGCAACGTTGGCGGGATCGACGGTTGTACCTCGACCACCAATTCCTCCCCGGTGTCCCGTCGTCTTCGAGACGAGCTCACGGTGTCGCTCACTCTCACGGTGCTCAGAACGGTACTGAACTCCCCTGGCCTCCGGCCGGACACGTACAGCGTCACCACGCTGGACTCCTCCTTGGCCACGGTCGAATGATCCTCTTTCCTGTCATTCGTCCTGATCCGACCGTTTCTCGGCCTGGACGCCTTGTGATACTCTTGGGCATCCTCTTCCTCGTCCGAATATTCGTAGCTATCGTGCTTGTAGTCCGAGTCAGCTGGCTGATGCCTGCTCTCCACCTCCCCTGGCAACGTGTTGCTCTGAGTGAACGGTGGAGCAGCGAACACGGGATCCAACAGAGGGTTCGTGTTCTGCTGTGGTTGAGGTTGCTGTAGCAGCAGTAACAACGAATTCAGATTGGCCGCTGGCAAGGCTGCCGTGGGTGTCACCACTACCGTGTCCGTGATGAACTCGGTCGCGGTCACCACGTCGGTCGACGTGTCCACCAGGGTGGTAACGATCTCCTTGCCGCGGAACGTGAGCGGGATCACGGTACTCCGTTGCTTGGTGATCGTGGTAACGTACGAGGTCGTTCGGGTATTGTACTGCGTGGACGGTGTAGCTTGCGGCTGCAGCAAGGGGTTCGCCTGACCTAACTGACCGAGGAGTAGCTGCGACAGGAGGAGATTCGCGAGAGGCGCGTTTCCGGGGAGGGCAGGCTGCACCGTGGAGACCACGTTCTCCACGGAGTAAACGGTCGTGGGCACGATCACGGACTGCGAGGCCCTGCGGCCACCCAGGGTGGTCAATGTATGGGAGACACGGGTGGTGGGCGTCTCGTGGAGAAGGAATCGGGTTACCTCGGTCTGACCTTGAGGATTGGTGCCGGTTACCTCGCTGGCGATCACTACCAGCGGTTTCCCGTCCCCACCTGTCACCGTACTGTACTGGGTCGGGCCTAGGATCTCGGTGCTAGCTTGAGCAGTTACGATGTTCCTGTGCTCCGTGATACCGTTGTTCACTACAGGGATGGTCACCTCGGTGGGTACATAGTGGGTCACCGTGATTGTCCCGTCGAAGTCTGGGTACACGGTGGGTGCCTCTCTGATGTCTTCCAACGATCCTCTTGACCTGGTCGTGGTAGAACCTCTTCGGTTACCGTTTCTACTGGGGGCTCTGGTGGTGGCGCGACTAGAAGGAGGTACGCGCCTCGTGCTGGTAGTTTCTGGCGCTTTGTTCGAACCGTTTCGCAATCTCGGAGGTCTTACTCGTTCTGCGTTGTTGGTGGATCTCCCGTTCGATCTGGGCGGCGACGTGCTGGGTCGTTTGTAGCTCGATCTGGCAGTCGAACTTCCGTCTTTCTCTCTCAAAGTAAATTGTCTACCGTTATTGGAGGTTGTGGTCGGTTTTATCCTGGAATTCGAATTTCTATCTCCGTTGGAAGTAGGCTGTTTAGACCTATTCCTGGCCTTGCTCTGGCTCAGCTCCGTGGACTCTGCCGATGTCTTTTCAGGATTGTTGGACGACTTGGACGGTGGCCTAGACGACGTTAGAGATCTGCCACGGTTATTGTAACGAGCAATAGGCTTCGTGTTAGACTTGGAAGTTTCTTCTTTGCTAGACAAGTTCTCGCTCGCGTCAGATTTATCCTCGGCCTTCGACGGGCTCGACTGACTCGGTCGTCTGAATCGACTGGTCAGAGATCTCAGCTGACTCGCCTGTCGACGCACCCTTCGCGCTCTATTGAACGGTCTGATCTGAACAGTGGGTCTGATGGATTTCCCAGAACGACGATTCACCGCCGTTCTGTCCTCGTGTTCCGAGCCTTCGTAATCGTTGTCGGTTATTTCCTCCACCACCTCATCTTCGAAATTCTCTTCTCCTTCGCTTTCTGATTCCTCGCTAGGGTCTACCTGTTCCTCAGTAGGTAATTCCTGTTTCTTCCCAAGTAGACCTCGAGGCGGAAATAACCCCGTGCTGCTCTGTCTAGGTCTGGTGGATACCGGTAGATTGATCCTTCCATTGTTCCTGCCGCTGGTAGCTTTAGAGACCGTAGGTACAGTTGGCCTGTTCAAATTTCCATTCCTTCGCGTAGTCGTGGGTGGTCTAGGCGTGGTGCTACTCCTTCCCGAATTGGACAGGTTAATCGGCCTTCGGAATCTCAGTAGCGGATTCGTGGACCTTCTAGAGGACTCCGTGGTCGTCTGCAGAGGCGACGTCACGGTTTCTCCGCCGTCCACGTCTTCGGTATAAGTTGTCTCCTCGGTCACTAGGGTAGTGGTAGTGAACTCGTTGGCATCGTTCTCCTGATCGTCGTGTCTGACCGTCGACTGACCCCTCAACAGAGTCGACGATGGTCTGATGGCTGGCCTGTACCTGGTAGAGGCTCCAGGGTAAACGGAACTCGACGCACGAGAAGCAGCCCTAGCCGACGAACCCCTTATCGACGTCGGACCTCGTCTATTCCCTTGGAACACGGATGACGGCGATATTCTGGTCTGAGGTCTGCCTCTGGTGCTTCCCGTCACGGTCGAAGAGAACGAACTGGCTGTGTTCGGAGATCCTCTCCTGCCCGAAAACCTTCTACTGCCTAACGGAGACAGCGTAGAAGAGTAGGGGCCTATGGGAGACGTGATGCGACCTCTGGATGGAGCGAACCTGTTGCCCTTGCCAGCCAAGGTCGCGGTTATAGTGGGCGTAATGTCTGTTCTGGTGATCGTCGTTGCACCCTGAGGACCCTTCCGTTTCGGACTCGGACTGAACGTTGGTCTGTTGCCAGGAAGGAATGGCCTGATCGCCGGCGTGAACGTCCTCTTCTTGGTAGGGAAGGTCAGCCTGGACTTTTTCTTCGAACTCTGATCACCGTCTCCCTCTTTGTCATCTTCCTCGCTCTCCTCGTTTTGCTCCGAATTGTCATCCTGATTGGGAGACTCCGTGGTTGGATCGTCGGGCAGGGAAGACTGAATGACAGCAGGCGAAGGCGAGATCTCAGGGATCTCGGTGGACTTGGTGGGTGGCAAGGTCGAAGTAGGCGCGATGTTGAGCGTCGGAGTCGCGTACAGGAAACTGGAGGTGCTTTCTATGATCTGGGCGTACCTGCCTTCGATGTTGGTACCGATTACCTTGGACTGGTAGAACGTGGTGGTACCGTTGTTCTCGATTTGACCTTGGATCAGTCTTACTAAACCTGTTCTGTGACCTTGGATAGGTACAACGGTTGCCTTCTTCTCCTCGTTTATACTCGTACTCGAGGTACTTTCGATGACCTTCGCGTAAAGTCCGTCGTACAGGGTGCCGATCTGCTTCGTCGTGAAGTAGATCGTGGTGACCTCGTCGGCCTCGATCACGCTGCCTTTGTTCATCGACAGGACACCGGTAGGCAATGCCGGAGTGACCACGGGTGAGGGTAGAGGCGGTGTCTCTAGTCTCGACGTGCTCGTTACCACCTGAGCGTACAGACCATCGATGTAAGTACCATGAACGTCGGTCGTGAAATGAGTAGTAGTGCCATCGTGGACTTCGCTAGACCTGATGGTCGAAATTAGCCCAATCTTGGGTGGTTCGATGGTTTTCGAGGGAGTGATCGGTATCTCCTTGGTAGTCTGGCTTTCCTTGAACACCGGACCATCGATTGCTCTGCCAGTGGCGGCTTGTTCGGTCGCGAGAACCTCGGGAATGGAGACGCTGGTGACAGTCTCCAATCTGCTATTCAGAATAGTCTCGTTGCCGATATAGGAAGTGGTGAAGTAGGTGTAAGTGGTATAATAAGTAGTAGGTTCAGGTGTAACCGTGGTAGAGTCTAAACTACTTTCGGAAGTTGGGGTGGCAATGTCTTTGGAACTGGTAGTCTCTGGTTCCTGAGCTTTGGAATTTTCGAGAGGAACGACATTCGAGGGTGTCACTTCGTTGTCAGCGGTGATCTTGGACTCCTTCTCGCTTATCACGCTGTCTTCGAGGTCCGTCGTGGGCCTGTACGTCATGACTACACCCAACTCCACGGTAGGCGTAGGAGCGACGCCTGGCGTGACCACGTCACTGACCGTCTCTTCGCGACTGGTCGTAACAGTGTCGCCACCTTTGTAGAACGTAGTCCAATAAGTGAACGTGGTGAAATACGTAACAGGTAGGGTGCTCGTCTCCATCGGTACCACGCTAGTTGGCCTGATAGTCTCGGTGGCTACGTTGGTGACGGTTTCCAGACGACTGACCACGTTAGACTCGTCACCCTTGTACATCGTCGTGAAGTAGGTGAAGGTAGTGTAACTGGTCTGAAGCAGAAGAGTCGGCGCTGGCTCTACTTCGTGATGGTTCGACTCTGACAGCTCTTGGTCCTCTGGAACCGCGTTTCTCTTGTCCATCACGTCCAGAACCGTGCCTCCTCCGGAACTGGAAGAAGACACCACGTCGGTGACCATGGATCCCAGGATCTCGCCGTCGAATGGTGGATTCGGTGTCACTTGCGCGTTCACTTCGAAATCGCGAAACAGATTTTCCGTAGTGGTTTGCACCTCCGTGATAGTTGTTGGACTCTCCGTCGTGACTTCTGCTTTGGCTTCAGTCACGGCTTCGCTGTCTTCAGGCTTGTCGATCGTCTGCTGCTGCACCCTCTTTGCGAGTTGCAGCGCCTCTTCTTGGGATTTCTGTTTCTGAAGGGCTTCCAGGTACGCCAAGATCTCTGGAGGCACAGCTGGCTTGGCAGGTTCCGCTTTGGGCGTAGTTGGCAGCTCCGTCTCTTCGATAAGAGGCACTATTGGAGTCGGTTGAATAGTCTCGGTCACCACGTTGGAGAACACTTCCGTCCTCGTTTCGATCTCTGTTTCGTTGTCGACGAAGATGGTGGTGAAGTAGGTGTACGTCGTGTAATAGGTCTTGATCTGTTCCTTTACCTCTTGAGTCGGTATGACAGGAGTTGGGCTAGGTTCGATCTCCGGCGTGGTCTGTCTGACGTCCTCGAAGTCCTTTAGACTGGCCCCCGACTCTGTTGGGATATTCTGATCAGTGGTGGTGTCCTGTTCCTGCAACGTGGTGAGCACCTCCTCCGTCGTTTGCTCCATCGTCGTTTGGTACCTCTCAGTTCCTTCCTCGAGTTCAGGCGTGATCGAAGGCAGGACGGTGTCCGAAATTCTCGTGGGTGATATCACGGTAGGCTCGTCCTTCCCGAACAACCCTGCAACGACTGCAGACGCCCCGTTGGGTCCGACTGTCTGAGTAATCACGTTGGTTTCCACCACCTCGCGACTGGATATGCTGGAAGTACTTTCCTGGAAGAAGGTAGTCAGATACGTGTACGTAGTGTACAGAGTCTTGAAGATCAGCTCTATCTCTTCGTCCTGTTTGGTAGTCTGCTCTTCTTCCAACACAGTGGGCAAGCTAGGTGTGGCTGTGGTCGTGGGGGGTTCGGCGACAGCAGTAGGCAGAATCACGGATTCCGTTTCGTCTGGTCGAATCAGCTCCGTGAAGTACGAAACCTCGGAAGAGACCACTTCGTTGGTGCGAACGGAAGTGGTAGTCTGGTCGCCATTAGGGATGAAGAAGGTAGTGAAATAGGTATACGTCTTGTACACCGTGGAAGGAAGCAGCCTGGTAGGCAAGATAACCTTCTCCTCTTCATCCACGAACACCTGTTCCTTGCGATCCTGATGTCCAAGGTCGTTCTTCGAGCTTCCACCCTTGATACTACGACCTTGAGGATCTCCAGGTGCTATGTCATTCGGGATCTCGTCATCCAACGTCGGAGCAGCGGACTCCGTAGTGCCCAGTACCCTTCTGGCACTCTGCAGGATATCTTTGAGAGTGGTTAACACGCTGTCCGTGGTGCCTTTCGACGGAGTGGTCAATTCGTCGATTTCCTGAGGAGCTTCTTCGCTGGTGGTGATTATCCTAGGCGTGGTGCCCGTCGTCATCTCCAGAGTACTATCCTGTTCGACTTCAGGCTCCTCGGTGCCAGTAGTTCCATAATCCACGGTGGTATCCTCGATACCGTAGGTAGCAGTGGCTTCGTCGGGAAAGAAGTACACGTTTGACGACGTGCGGATGATCTGAGCATAATTCGTGCCCATATAGGTACCATAAATGAGCGTCTTATAGTGAGTAGTGGTACCATCCGAAGAAGTAGTCGAATCGACGACTTTCAGCAATCCTGTCGGCTCCAACGAGGCAGTCTCCATGTCGGGTATCAGTAGAAGAGGTTCGGTAGACTTGGTGGAAGACTCGGCTTCGAAGTTCTCGGTGACACCTGGTTGAATATTGGCCCTGTTGATAGCATCCAACAGAGGATCACCCGTCTCGCTCGTCGGATCTGATATACGCGGTGGGTACTTGGTCTTGTCCTGACCAGTGACCATGCTGGTGGGCCTGATCTTCACAACGGCCACGCCGTCGTCGGGTCTCAAGGTGGCGTCACCCTTGATCGTGGTAGCAGGACGACCTACGGGAGCAGGGGACGTGCTGGGAGAGAAAACTATGACAGTCTCTCCCACGGTGGTCGTGAAATCTGCGAAACCGTGATACGTCACGGTTGGCAGAGGCTTCAGGTCCACCTTCTTCTGCGCGGGAGCCTTTGGCTGAGGCTTGAAGATCTTGGGTAATCGAGGTCTGAAACTCTTCGGCTGGTCTTCGTCCAAATTGTCGAAATTATTCGTCACGTACTCGTGAGTGACTGTGTAAGTCGGCAGGTTATCCGCCGGCCTAACTTTGGCAGGCTTGAACCTCTGCGAGTCAGACCCGAACTCCCTCTTGCTGAATATATCGTTCTCTCTGGACAGTTCGTCCAACTTGGTGGGAGACTTTTCTCTCTCGTTCTGACTGTCGGAATCGTTCTCCTGGTCTCCCTCTGACCGAGGATCTTCGATATCCTTGAGAGCCTTGATGGGTGCATTGTCGAGGGCCACTTTGAGCTGCCAATCGTCGTCGGCGGTTCTCGTGGGGTACACCACGTACGGGGTAGCGGAATCTGGGGTTGGCTTTTTGTCGTAGAACACTCTGCTAGACGTGGACAATATTCTGGCATAGAGACGGCCGTTGTCCAGCGTGGTACCGTGTACCTGAGTGGCGAACTCCGTGCTGGCGCCATCTTGGACGAAGGTTCGCGCGGTTTTCGTTAGCAGACCAACCGGAGGGTTGGATTTGCCGGGTCGTGCCGGGACTAGGAGGACCGTGGTTACGCCTGGGGACGGTCACCGAGCATGGAACGTGTCGGGAAATATTGGGGATCGTTGAGAAACACCCGAGGGCCGGGACAATCGCCGCACGAGGAGCACGATTTACCGATTTCCACGTTTCCGTTCGAAAAACAGTCGTCCAGGTCGTGTTGTAAATTCGAGGGGTTGGACAGTCGCAGTGGTCGGTATCGGTATCAGCCAATCGATTCGTCATTCGTTCGGACGTACAGACAGATATATATATATATATATTTTGTTTGTTTGTTTGGTTTGGTATTTGTATTTATTTTTTAAGATAATGTAGGTCGTCGGAGAGACGGAGTGGCGGGCGGACGTTGGAGGCAGACGGCATCCAGTTGTTGAGAAGAGTTGAAGTGGAGGAGCAGGCGGGAGCAGTAACAGAAACAGAAAAAAAAGAGACAGACGATCTTAGTGGACGAGTCATCCTGTTGGTACATAGCCTATAGAGAGCAACCTGCTACGTCCCCGTTTACCCTCTGCCCACGAGTATCGATTCCCGATCGTCGCACGTTCACGAGGGCCCAGTGATCGTCGCCGTTCCGTTCCATGCAACCGGAAACGGGACCGTCGCGGGGGCCTCGTGGTCCGTTCCGTGAATCGTGCGCGCGAGAAAACGACAGTAGAAGGCGTACCAAGACGTTAAAAAGTCCTCGAGTATCGGTATTATATATATATATATATATAATATATATATATGTAGTATAATATGTACAGCTCGAGGGACCTGAGAACTCGTTCCAGATGGTCGGAGTTTTGCTCGCTCGCAACGAAGGCGTTACCAATTTCCTATCGATCCATGGATCCACGCGGACCGTGAAATTCGTTTCTCGTTTCGACCGGTGAAAGTCCATCGTGCCAATACCTGTCCGCGAGCGTGCCAATTGTTCACATTCCTTTCCCTTTCGTCTAATTTTCGTCTTTTTTCCCTATTCGCTTCGGTTTCTCGTCAGATCGATTATCAAGTCCCTCGAGGCTTCGTATATGCCTGTGAGTGGTTGGACAAGGATTTCGAGCCCATTTACCCACGGAAACGGAGAGCCAGGTGACACGTACGAGCGAAAAGAAAAGTTAAGTCGAATGGAATATTTGAGAAAAAAAAATAAAAAATAAAAACGAAACGACGACAAAGAAACGACATAAACGTATAGACAGAGAGAGAGAGAGAGAGAGAGAGAGAAAGAGAGAGAGAAAGAGAGAGATACATGTATTTCGAAACGAGTATTACTTTTGATTATGTACACGGCCGCACCTCGCGTCGACACGCACAATGCAAGTTTTTAGAGACAGAACGATCGGTTTTAACTGTGAGGAGAGAAAGGCCAGACAGCGGAGATGAGAGAGAGAGAAAGAGAGAGAGAGAAAGAGAGAGAGGAAAGCGAAAGAGAGAATCGTTATTGCCGATAGAATTACGCTGGAACACGGTACTCGTCGCGAATAATGTTACTCTACGGAACGCGGCTAACGAAATGTATTAATTTCAGGCTAGCGAGGAGAAGAAGAGAGAACGAAGCCGTGTTCCAGAGTAATTCTGTTTGGGAGAACACGAGTTGGATGCAAGACAGGCACGATGAAAGGGCGGCTCACTCACCTTGCAGATCCCTTTCTATCCTAGCTGGCCTGTCGTCTGTCAGCGATTCAGCATCTGCAAATAAAAACCCAGGTCTCCATTATGATAACTATATCGGATTAATTTTCGTCAAACATTTTCAAACATTCCAAATTTTATATCCAATAACAACGACGTTTCCATTCCATCATCAGACTTAAACGGTTCTATGCAAAGTTCCCGCGTCTAATGCACCGGTCAAGGACACCTAATGGCAACTCCGCGAAAGGAAGCAGTGGGTGTCGAATGAAAGTAATCGAAGGATGCCTGCGCGTGAAGCTGCAAGGAGTTATAGCATGCAACGCACACCACTGCGAATCCGAAACAAAGGTATCATTGTTAGTAGCATTTTGGAAACGAGCTAATCGATGAACGTGGACAATTCGCTACCTGGTAACCTAACTAACGACCAATTCCATAATACCAAGGTAACCTAACGTAACGTGCCATTTGCTCGGCAATAACCGCTTTACGATTACAAGAAAACTCGGTAGACGAGTAATATCTCGTAAATCGCAGACAATGCTGACACGGTGTCGGCTTAACACCATTGAGGCGTCGTTCTCGGAACAACCACGACAAAGTGTACCGGCTGTTTCAGAGTAAGACCTCGAATTCCACGATGGCGGTGAGTAAGTAAACCAGCGAAGAGACAAAGGCTAGACGACGCGCTGGCACGGGTGCAACGAGGAGGGCAGACGCAATCGGGAAACACTGAATAAGGTGTACGTATGGGAATGAGAGAAGAAGAGGTCCCAGGCTTCGACGATGCTGAAGATGTCGTCCGGGGGCCGCGACGTACAGTTATCTGACCGACTCCTTTCTTCTCGCGAGAACATTTCCCCTTCCGTCTCGGCTCGTGCCACGTGCACGCAGACAAAATCCGCTGCGAACCTTCCGCGCCGATCTGCTCGACTTCTTCGCTTTGTTACACGGATTTTGTCGGACTCTTGCAAAAGCTGGTCCGGCGTAAGTAGGTGTTTTTAAGAAATTGAAAGTGTAGCTAGGCTCCTTTATCCGTTTCTTACTCCTGTTCCTTCTTTTTTCTTCTCGTTTTACTATGGGTGATTATGGTTCGAGTAATCGGTCGCGATTGGTTCGGTAAGAGAAAGGTAGGTAGATAGGCATCGCGGTAAATCGGTGCAACGGAAAGTAATTGGTACGATAATCAGTCATCGAGTTATTCCCATTCTCCATCTTTTTTCCTTTTTTTTTTTAAGGTGGGAGTCCTGTGACGTAAAGGGAATCGAGTGTGGGAGAAATTCAGAGAATTTACGAATTTTTAAAGGTCGAAGGAGAGTTTATAAAATGGTAGGCAAAATTCTTGACGTCTTTTAAGATTAGAATTAAATAATTCTGCGGTTCGATAATAATTCTGGATTCAAATAGTCACAAAGAATTCAATAAAAATTCTGGATTCAAATAGTCGCAAAGAATTCAATCGAAAGCGTTTCGAATTCCGTCAGAAGTTCGACGCAGCTTCGAACATTGGTAGATCGAAAGAATTCAAGATATAAATACAAAGAATTCAACAATTCTGCGGTTCAATAATAATTCTGAATTCAAATAGTTACAAAGAATTCAATAATTCAGCACTTCAATAATAATTCTGGATTCAAATAGTCACAAAGAATTCGATAATTCAGCAGTTCATTAATAATTATGGAATTACATAGTCACAAAGAATTCAATAATTCAGCAGTTCAATAATAATTCTGGATTCAAATAGTCGCAAAGAATTCAATCGAAAGCGTTTCGAATTCTGTCAAAAGCTCGACGCAGCTTCGAACATCGGTAGATCGAAAGAATTTAAGATATAGATACAAAGAATTCAATAATTCCGCGATTCAATAATAATTCTGGATTCAAATAGCCACAAAGAATTCAATAATAATTCTGGATTCAAATAGTCGCAAAGAATTCAATCGAAAGCGTTTCAAATTCCGTCAGAAGCTCGACGCGGATTCGAACATCGGTAGATCGAACGAGCCCATGAAAAATCCCGTCTGTCTGCTCGTTTTTCGTCCTAGCGTCTCCGTACACCTGTGCAATCCAGCCGGTGTCATTAAGCGAACGCCATAGGAACTGTGGAACGCAGTCTATCGAGCGGATTCTTTTCCACGCTGCTCTTTCATTCATTCGTTATTCCCGATTTGCCCAGTTCGCCGATTTCGCGGAATTTCGTTCGTCTTGAATGGCCATCGTCGTGACCCGGCCTGCCCTACTACCTGTCTCACCTGTTCCAACGCTCCCCGTTATCTCTTGCAGCTGCTAGAATCACTCTTTCGTCGCTTCTAACCCCTCCTGTTCAAATTCATTCGCAATCTTACCCAGAAATACAATTCAATTTGTTTTTTAATCGTTAATAAATCACCAGCAGTAAACTTATACTATTGTACTCGTATACTCGGAATATTTTCAACCAGTGCGAGTCTTTATGACATATTTTAGCTTGCGAAATTTACGATACGACAGAGTTCTTCTAGTGCACGTAGTTAACCGTGAGAAAAATTGATAGGTGAAATTATTATGGCGCGAGGTATAATTGAAATTTGGTAGAAGAACAATTTTTGAACTCTTTTTTTAAATTTTCAATCGATGAAAAATACTTTTATCGTGTCACGATTCTGTTGTCTTAAATAAAGGTAAATTATACTTTGGAAATATTCTCCTCGGAATTTTCACAGTTAGGAGAGACGAAAATTCAGTTAAACGTTATCGAAAATTTGTGAAATTTTCTTTGGCACTTACAATCAATTTCGTTCGAGCAAACGTCACGATCGATCGATTCTCGTCGATCACGATCGTTCCATCGGAACTCGTGCCTCGAACGCTTCGAGCGGCTTGTACTCGCATCCGAGCTGTCTTATTGCAACGTTGTACATTGTCCACGATATTACGGCAAACAGAGCGTGTAAACTATCTTTCGGTATTACGGTGGATGATTATGAAACGTCGGCCACGGACGACGCGATAGGTATTCGTCGAACGAGATCGATCAGCGATTTCTTCTGATCGCCAACCGGTCGATCCTTAACGATCTCCACGAATTCACCCGGCGAATGATTCGTGAAAGCATCAGGAGAACGACCAAGTCGATTTCATGGTTAATCGATCATCTAGAAAGCCGTAGCGCCAAAAGTTTTATGGAAATTAAACGATGCAAAATGAAATAATACTCTTTGCTGCGATCATTGTCTATTTACGACTGCATTGTTTGTCGGTTACAAAGGGCAGTTATGATACATTGCCGTATTAATTAGGGTACTTCCTTGTAGGGTTAGCAGCAAGACGTTTCGGTATTACTTTTATAACTTTCGCCCAATGAACTTCCATTTTGTTCTCCACGTATGAGTCTCATTAAGATTTAAGATAATTGACTCCAATTATATGAATATCTTTCAATTTCAATGCCAAAATATCTGATTGGTATTTAATTATTCATATTTCACCTCTCATAATTATATTATTATAATTAATTATGTAAATATGTATAATTATATTGCGAGTAAAATAGGTATATAGTGGCTTTCGAGGTTTTGGTTCATGGACTCAGTCGATTTGGCAAACGACCAACTCACATGCCGATCATGTTTCGAAAGACACGATGACTATAGTCTCTGTACTTTCTTGTACATTTTGTACACCTTGGTACACTTTATTACTCTCGAAACTGGGGTACATCTTGCTAGATATTCGAATTCTTTCGAATTCTTTGGGGTTCTTTCGAATTCCTTCGAATTCTTTCGACTTCGTTCGAGTTCTTTCGAATTCTTTCGATTTCTTTCGAATTCTTTCGACTTCGTTCGAGTTCTTCCGAATTATTTCGAATTCTTTCGACTTCGTTCGAGTTCTTTCGAATTATTTCGAATTCTTTCGATTTCTTTCGAATTATTTCGAATTCTTTCGATTTCCTTCGACTTCGTTCGAGTTCTTTCGACTTCGTTCGAGTTCTTTCGAATTATTTCGATTTCTTTTGAATTCTTTCGACTTAGTTCGAGTTCTTTCGAATTCTTTCGACTTCGTTCGACTTCTTTCGGATTCTTTCGAGGAAAGAAGACGTTCTTTAGAGTTCGTTGAGCCGAATTCGTCCGAAGGCTACGGTCAAAAGTTGATGGTGAGCGAACGAGATGACATCCGGTTATCCAACCGGTGGCCACTTCTCGGTAGTCCACCGATCGAGATCGACGTACTCTCATGGTTCGAGGTCATCCTCGTCCAGGTGCATTGGGTCAGCTGGTCGGCTTCGCGACGCCCTTCTTTCTCCGACGGTCTGGCCTGAGGCCAGCAGGGGCCGTTTCGCAGCCTCTGCCAAAGGGGCCATGCTGTTGCTCGATGATCGACGACGATCCTGCTCGTCGATCCTTTTCTCCACACGGAAGTTCCGTGTTTCGTGAATGGGTTCAGGAAGCCTGTTTCTCGTGATGAAATTACAATAACTTTCTTACTTCGGAGGGTCTTACTTGTAGAAAGCCAGGTACTTGTCCAAAAATCGGGAAACTGTACTTTGCATCCCAATATTAAAATCAGGAATTAATTGAAATAGCTCTACATTAAATACTTAAAACATCACACTCTACAAACTTTATTCGTTATATACCATATATAATATAAATATCACAAGAAGTAAGAAAATATCAAAACCAAAATCAACAATCGACAGCAACATACAAATACATAGTATGCATACAATAATTAAATCACGTGTCATTAAAATTAAATAAAAATTCCAATAACTCATCGAAAAACAAACTAAAATTCTACAAAATTAAATATCACAATATCACAGTAATTAAATTACACGTTATGAAAATTCTGTGAAGTCAGGTATCACAAGAACTAATATGACAGCAGAGCGAAAAGCAGTAGGAATCACGCCTAACATCCGACAACCACGTTCTCGAGCACGCGACTGCAATTGCATACGTTGCCTTGAGCTGCTTTTTCGCTGCAGCTAGTCAGCAGAAGGAGAGAAATCCCTAAAGACATTCCACGTGTTTCGCAAGAAACAGTCCGTCCATTCATACCCTATGCACCAGTCTGACATGTCTTCGCCTCGAATTTCTGCGTAGCACCGCTCTCAAAGGTTCGTCCACGTGTGTCGCGTCGAAATTCCCCAGATACCGAGCACGGGTAATAAACGGCGGGGATGTAACCGCGTAGGGACGTTAATGGATTCCCCTATGAAGGAATCCAGCTTTCCAGGTGAACGCGCGAACGCCTGGACAAGCTTCTTCCGCGTCGCGGAGGCCGCCGAAGACGAAGAGTAATACTGGAGCGTGTAAAACGAGGGACAGATCGCAATTTCCTCGGGCTTCTCGTCATTCGTCTCGGTGCAAGAGTTTAATAACAGGAGAAAGAGA